TTCCATGTAGGCCTTACAGAGATAAAGCCAGTTGGCTATTTTCAGCATTTGATATTCTTTCCTTGTCTCCAATGACATTCCTGAATTGGCGGCGTACAAGACTTCGTCTCCGATAACATTCTTGAATTGGCGGCTTACAAAACTTTCTTTATTCTCCCAAGATCATTGGACCCTACTTGTGAGAACGTTTCTCACTGAATTAATTGTTACTAGGCAACTTAGTACCGGCAAATTGATACCTATTTAAAGCAATGTATTTCCATTCATGCCTAATTTAATTATTAATTAATTATTTAAATACGGTAACCGATCAATCACTTTTACCTGGAATGTATAATCGTCTTGCAATAGGTATGCTTGTTTAATCGTACATATATAATTATAACGCAGGATTAATTAATTATATTATATACTTTATTCTAAGATACAAATCAAGTTTCTTGATAAGTTACAGCTATAGTTAAATTAAATTTCTTCTAAGCAATAAAGTTTCAACTTAGAATATTTTGCAGGATAAAATAAACACTTCTTAACTAAAAATTATGCTATTAAAACTACTTCGTAAAACAATCAATCTTAATAATAAAGTATTTCGCCATACGTTCTTTCAAGAACATAATAAGGTCTTGTTTTGTAAACTGGCATAGGGCCTATTCTATTTTTTCAGTAAATGTTTTCTCATACACTCTCATACACGATTCTCATACATGTTTTCGTTACACAATTACTGGAGTATGGAGTTATCAACTCACTCTGGCTAGACAATGAACATGATTGCTTCATCAGATAAGACAAAAGATATCAATTAACGTCTCCGTGGTAACGTTAACTTTTTACTCTAGTATTGTTGCTTTTTATTGAGTAACAAACGATTGAATCGATAGCATGAATCATGTACATATTTGAGTATAAATAATTAAGAAACGAATATCATATGTATGAACTTTAGAAACACTTCAGTGGAGGAAACCAATTTTCAACCTATTCTTATATAAATTATATATGTACACATATTTAAATATATGTGGCGTATATATAAGTCATGATATAATCAAGGTAATTCAACAAAAGGACGCACATCTCCGCTCTCGAACATAGCGCGTGCGTACAGTCCTTTGATCTTTACTGTGGCATCGACAATCCGATACTAGTTGCGAGTACAGCCGTCAAT